GTTACTCAGAAAGAAAAGCATATCTGTTTTCCTGTGGATATCCTGTAGGAGTCAAAACAGAGAAAGGACACAAAGGCTTTATAAAACAAAATTTTGGATCAACTGAAAGTTACAGTCATGGAACCCACAAGAAGAGCCGGAATAACCTTTCTGTGGGCTTCAGAGATCGTGAATTTCCCAACAGATAATGCCTCAGCGTTGGGTGGGAAGCTGTGATGAACGTTTGAGTGAGAAAGTATGTGTCTGAGTTAGAGCATCTGCTTTCATTACTTAGTTTTCAAGAGGACGTTATGAGTCAAGTAAATGAGTGGGTTTTATCCTGGAAAAGATCCAGGGAAATTCGATCTTCTTAAGAAGATAAAGAAAAGCAGATTTCAGCAATTTTGAGGCGGGCACTGTGGGAGAGACTGAGTGGAGTGAGGACTCACCCTGTTGGGCCGAAGTGAGCTCCGTTCCTCGGGAGCTGTGCGTCTTCCCTCCGCAGCGTGGTGACTCATTCAGGGTTCGAGATTAACCCATTTTAAATCTTTCTCTTAAAACCTTCCGAAATGAGGGAAGACTAAGAGAGCCCTAAGAGAATGTGTCTGCCTCAGATAGCTGTGCTTAAGGGCGGTTGCCTGGCGAGAGGGCCACACCAGACATTCCCAAAAGCTTGCAGGAAATAGCATAGTGGGAATGTGGAGAAGAGGAGGAAACCTATAGATTGACAGTTTAGGAAGAGTCTCCATAATGAGACTACATCTCGGAGGCCAGGGAGTTCATTCACAATTCATAAGCCTTCTATTTTCAGGAGAAGAGGAGATTTGTATACTTTTCCAAGAGTCCATACATTTCTAGAGCTTGAAAAAAAATTAAACATAGGACCTAGCACAATAGTGATGAAGAGGGTATGTGTGAACATACATAGTGGAAATTTGTCACACAACAGAGACAAAGCTAATTTCTATCCCCTTATCCAGGGGCTAAGGCTAAGGATGAATTCTCGGGGTGGAGTGGAGAAAGGGAGAAACGGCATACATCTGGTTAATACCGATAAAAGGCTGTTTGGTTTGGTTTTTACTTTGAATGCCTATAACAGGCTCTGGGGACCTCATACCATCAGTAACTTCTTGTATTTGCTAAAGTCAGTGTCCTTTCTGGATGCTACTTCCTTCCCTACGTGTCTTTGTGTCTTTGGCCAATAACATTTACACAACCAGGTTAGGTCTCCTGGCTTTCTGTTTACTGTTTCCTATGAAAATCCTAGCACTCAAGATTTGTCATTAAAGCCACGCTGAGGAATTCCACAAGATGAAATTCAAGGTTCTCTCATTCTCATTTTACTGGACCCTTCTTCCTGATGCTACCTCCCCCTCACCTCCTTCATGGAGCCCAATTACAGCTCTTCTCCCCTGACAGACCTCACGCCTCTGCCACCCTCTTCTTGGCCTCATCTAGATATGTAAGTTCGGTGGTGTGTGCCCCCACTCCCTCATTAGTTTTATTTAATCTTATCTGATAAGTAAAATCAAGATGCAATCAACTGATAAAGGCCTGTGGGTCAATTTGCCTTTCCCTGTAAGTTTTTATTTACATGGGCGTGGAGACCCTGTGTTAGGGCCAGTAGGACAGGAGCACCCTTTGTTTCGCTCCCATCGTCAGTTTAACTATGAGGGGCATTGGCTTTCTACTGAGAGTCACGAGATTGTGTAAGGCCCCAAACCAGTGCTTTCTTTCTTTTTTTAAAAATAGTCTTTTAAAGCTTCCTCCTGAATAATGCTATTTCAGTACCTGTGTGCTTACACAAACCTAGTGTTAGGCTTAATAGAAAGTAAATAGTAAAGCTAAGTAAAATTACCCTGTAAGTATCCAGGTTTCCAAAATATGAACTTTCCTTGACCTCTTCATGTTCCTGGTGTTTCATTTGAATGTTTTTATGGATTCTACTTTTGAAGACCCTGAGTGTGTTATAGATAAACATATTTTCTGGAAAACCAACTTTAGAGAAATTCCATGCAAAAAGCTTTATTTCTGATGGGATGTGTGATCCAATAAATTTGAAAAATACTGTGGATGCTACCTAAATTTTGAGGATTTTCAATGTGCATTCGTGTAGGAAAGGCCCCAAGAAGTCCTGTAGTGACAATGCCTGTAGTCATTCTTTTTGTGTACAACATTCCGTGGAACTAGGTTTACAATGAGCACGATTGTGAAGGGTGGAGCAGGCAGGAAGGCTCTAGACGGCTGCTTGTACCCTAATTACTTTAGTAGAAAAAAAGGGAGATAATTTGTGTTGGAAGATAAGGCAGACAATGCTTGCAAACTCAACCATTTAAAAAACTCATTTATTTATTCATTAAAGATTCATTACACACTTACCCTGTAGATGAGACTGAATCAGGAGTGGTGGTGCTCCCCTAAAAAAAGACTGATCTTTGTCTGGAGGTGTTTATGGGCATGTTGAGACATACGTAGATGATTAAAATGGTCTCAACTGCACATATCTGACTGAAGCAATGATCAGTGGTGAGGAGACATCCTCCAGTGGTTAAGTCTTGACTTAGAATTTGAAGAGTACTCGTTGATGACCACCACCTTAGCTAAGTTATGTTTTACTCAGATGTCCAGACTCAGGAAATGAACAACCACATAAAAACATTACTTCAAAGGCCTTTCATTCTGTTAAAGCCTTGAGCCGAAGGTAATATTTTCTTTCTGTGATGGTGAGGAGAGAGAATGGGGCTTGACCTCCAAAGACTTCAGTTTGATCCTGCCTCAGTCTTGTACACCCATGGTTGGCCACCAACGTGACAGCACAGAGGCAGAGACACTGAGGACCTGGGTGTCATTATTTGCCTGGAATGAATCTGGGAGGATCCCGAGACAGAATGAAAAGAGTCATGGGCTTTAAAAAATATAAAATTCTATATAGATGTTAGCTATTATTTCTATTATGTTACTCTTATTATTTTTGGACTAATTAAAATAATTAATGAATATGCAAGGCATTGTCCTAAATGCTTTCCATTTGTTTTCTCCCTGAATCTGTACAACCGTAAGTGTTGGGTGCTCCAATTATTCCATTTCACAGCTGAGAAAAACAAGGCTTAACAGAATTTAAACCATGGGTTTTAGTAAAACATCTGCAGATTTTCAGTGTGCTAGATCTGTGCCATATTCAGTGACTTTGGCGTTCATTCCTTCAGTCAACTAATTAGTATTATTAAGCACCAAGCACATGCTGTGTCTTGTTTAAAGTTCTGTGTATGTAGTAGTAAGCAAAATCAACTAAAATTTCTGTCCTTGTGAAATTTAAATTCTAGTGAAGAAGACAGATAATAGGCATAAATGTAAAAACTAGGTAGACTGTTAGAAGGCAACTGGGAGTGTGAGGAGAGAGGGTGGAATACAGTTTTCAGTAGGTTGGGCAGGGTTGCCTGCTGAGATGGTGACGGTTGAGTAGAGATTTGAAAGAGGTAAGGGAACGAGTCACAGGAACAGTAGAGAGGAGTGTTCCGGTTAGAGGGGACAGACAGTACAAATGTCAGGGGCGTGCATATGTTGGGCGCGTCTGAGAAACAGTGTGCCCAGTAGGACTGGAGAAAAGAGAGCGAGGCACAGGGTACGAAATGGGTCCGAGAGGCCCGGGTGTGTAGGTCCTGCGGGTCACTGCCAGGGCTCTGAGACAGGGGAGGGTTTTGAGTGGAGGAGTGGGATAATCTGATGTATATTTTAAAAGGATCACTTTAACCATTTTGTTGAGAACACACTGTAGGGGTTAAGGGTGGAAGCAGGGAAATCAAAAACTGCTCATTCCTGATACAAAATGAAGTGAATTAGAAAGTGCTTCCAAATCTCATTTGGTGTACATTAAACTGGGTTAGTTCATTTTCCATATAGCAAAATGAGCAAGCTGGGGAGGCCTGTTTGAACACCTATTTATCTTGGCCAAATACTTTCTTCTAGCATCTTGAAGTCATTTATTTGGCCATGTTGGTGCTATAACCAAAATGAGTTTTTCTATAATAGTGACATAAATCCTGGAATTCCAATAGAAGATTGGATTAAATAGGACTTTTTTTTGTGGGTGGTATATTTCAACTACTTCTTATCAAAACCAGTATAATTTCTAGTATAGACTGGGTAGTTATTTGAAAATATCATCTATACAGGTTCTTTCTGAGGGTAGAATATAGATTAATAATGGCATATCATTAAAAGCAACATCATTTTACTATGCAGGACTAGGGATAGAACCATGATGTTCTGAAAACAAGACATGGCACACTGACACAGTGGAACTTTGAATTCATTTGGAATAACTATTGATATTATTATTATCTAGTCCTTAGATTTCAGATCCACACAGTTGAACCTAGATGGGAAATTTGATGCTGTTTTTCTTATTGAGGTGATAGAACTAGAAAACACAGAAACTTTAGTAAGCTTATTTATGGATATTCGAATAACTTTATGAACCATGCTTGGGTTAATGATAGGGCAGAAATGCTATTAAAGCAGAATACTATTAGTTAATCCACTGGTGATGTGCATTAGTGATACTTGAAAAGTTATACAGTAATGGGGACTTTTGTAGCTTTAGTTTATCCATCTACTAAGATTTGTAGGTATTTGATATGAACTTATAATTCCCCCATCCACTTTCAGTGAATGACTTGGATCTCTTGAATCTACCAGAACACACGCTAAAGAAGGCTTTCTGTTAATGGAACATGACTGGCTTGTTTTCTTCAAAATGCAGTACAGTTACTTTGAAATTACAAGTCTACTGTGTGGCCAAGAAGCATCCTCAGTTGAAATATAGATTATATTATCATATTTTCTGTATTTATTCAAGGGTTCATGATTGGGAGGAAAAGGGTGGCAAAGAGAGAAGACTGTTCAAAAATTATTAAATTAATCTGAGGTCCTTTCCCTTGATAGCAGATTAATCTTTTGCCAAAGGCATGTATGGACGATGTGCTCAAAGGACAACCAATTACCTTTCAGAAATATCTGTGGTGCTTGTCTCCACAGCACTTATACTAGAAAACTGGAATGATAGAGAGAAGATTAGCATAACCCTGTTTAAAAATAGCATGCACATTGATGAAGTATTTTATATTTTTAAAATTAAACTTATTCTGGTAATCATTAACTTGTATAGCTTAAACTTATACAATGTCATCTCAGTAAAACTGGAAACATGAGAAATGTTCGTGTTTGGAGGCTGGAGGGAGGGCCAAAGGTCAGGTAAGGCAGTACCATCTTTTGAGGCTGTAATCAGAAATTTAGCAAGAAATTTAAGATAGAGAATACTGTATTAAGCACATATGTAGTTACCTGAAATCCAGCATCATTTTAAAACAAAGTGGTTAAGAGAGTATACCTGTTAGCATTCTATTGCCATCTCTGCCACCACAAATCTACAGCCTACTATTTTCCTACCATACATTTCCTAATGATGCTTCTGTTGATAGAAAGCCCCAGTCATTTTTTATTAATGGATGCTGTGACTTCTTCCCACTCTCTTTCCATTGGCACAGCATTTACTGATTAAGGATGCTGGGTGAGTCAGAATATTCCTTGCATAATGATTGGTTACTTGGAATGGGTACCAACTCTTCCTTTGTGATAAAGAACAGTGTATATAAATAAGGGTAAGAGATTTTCTTGATGTTCAAGGTCTTTGGTCTCTGAGTTACAGACTATAAATTTCCTGGGCCACATTCTAGATGCAGAACTTCCACAGAAGTCAACAGAAGTTTTGTGAAAAAAAATTAACGGCAGGAAAATGCACTATTATTATTTACTACCATTTCATTTTGACTGTTCTGAATATAATTTGGTACATAAAGTATTGTGGAAGTTTTGAGTTTTTCCAACGACTCATTTTCATGCAAATGTTTATCACATTTCTGTGTATTGTTTTCTTCTATCATATATATTTCCATCTTCCATAAGTAAATCAACATCTTCTTCCATAGTGCACTTTCAGTGGCTGTAAATTCAGCCTGTGTTCTCATTAAATGTTACGAATATGTGATTTTCATTTATGATTTTAGTGGGTGTTTCTGAAATTTCTACAGCGGTATCTGGTCAGTAAATATTGTCTGTGTATTAGAATTACAGCACCTAATTTCATTTTTCTTCCATGTACTATTTTCTGTAATCCTTTCCTAGTAAACAGGAGGCAATTTGGGTTCTTTTCTATCCTAATTCTCAGAGACCCTCCTTATATACAGACTAGGTTTGATTTTGCTTTTCCTCCTATGCATGGTTCAGGGAACAATGGGAGCAAGCCTTGAGTCCCTTCCCTTTCCTCACTGCTAACATCATACCTAAGCTACCACCCTGGTTTAATCAGACCAGGCCACGTGCCTCCTAAGAGGTTTTTCACTATGTTCAGCTTCAGTCCTTCTAATCTCTCAATGCTGCTGTTAGAATGATCTCTTAAAAATGCAGAGATGGTTGATTCTTCCTCTCCCTGCTCAAAACACTTTGGATTGTCCTTAGGATAAAGACCAAATTCTTGAACATAGCTCACAGAGCTCTACATACTCTGGTCTCTGCTTGCCTCTCCAGACAACTGATCTACCATCTCTCTTGCTCTGTGCTCTAACCACAGGGATCTGCTTTCACATCGACCCATCACCACTCTCTTTCACCTCCAGGCCTTTTTGCATGCTCTTTCCTTTTCCTGGCCCATTATTCTACTCTACATTCTCCTGAATATTATCTACTCCTCTAAGTCTCTACTTAAATTCCCCTCTTATGAATGATTCCTACTACTGTTATTCCTACTACTTGCATTTCTACAGGATCCTGCACTTGACCTTTTAAAATAGTCATCACACCTGTGACTTTCTGTTTAACATCTGTCTCCCCACTACATTGCTATCTTTGTGAGGCCAGCGACCCTGTCTGTGCTGTTTATTGCTCTGTTCCCAGACCCTTGCACATGAAAGGTATTTGGCACCTAGTGAGTATGTAATAAATGTTTGTTGACTTCTTTTTGGTCCTAATTCCACTACTGTCTTCAGTTAATCTTTCCCACTGCTGTCATTGGATGTGTGTCTTTCTCTTTCTGGGGAGATGGTGGAATACTTTTCTTTTGAAATTTCACAGATTCTCATTGTCCTTTATCCTTTCTCTCTGAAGATGCTTCCTGGTGCTAATTTTCACCCAAATTCCTTATTTCTTTTTGTGGTGACTGAAACATCCATGGGTGAGTATAAGATCACTAGCCTGGAAGATGTGAAGCTTGAGTTTGAATTCTCCTATCACATTAGTTGGGCTTTTAACTCTGTGCAAGTCATTTAATTTGTCTGATTATGATTCCCCTACACTACAAAATGATATGTATGGATCAGACTGAATCTGTGGGCCCCTCTGTAAGGCCAGTAAGCCATTTTGTGCACTTTAGGGAAGAGAGAGCCCACTGTCCTGGAGTACAGAAGAAAAAAATGATCGAAAGGTAATCAAATGGAAATTCAACATATCTTCCTAGAGTGAATGTTAGATTTTAACCTGGAGAGGGCCAAGGAAAGGCTGTCTGTGTCCTCCAACCTGTGCTCTCCTTCTTACCTTTCCTCTCTGATCTGTATCAGCCCTGGGCAGTTGTGGCTGAGAGAGAGAGCTGATGGTGGACCCACGTGAAACATTCTCTCCCATGGGTAAGTGGCAAGCCAAGATACTCCCGTATGGCTACATGTGAAGGTTATTTGAGTGTGTGTGGGGAGGGTTGAGATGATTATTATTGCCTACCATCCATGCATTAGTATCTTTATTTACCTAATAGCCATATTACTGAAGAATGTTTAATATATAATTAGTGAAAGAGCATAGGAATTTGAATTAGGCTGGGGTTTAAAATCTTGTTCCATCACTTTACTGTGTGTGTATGAGAGAGAGAGAGAGAGAGAGAGAGAGAGAGAGAGAGAAACCAAGGCAATTAATTTGAGTCAGTTTCCTCCTCTACACATTTATGGTAGTAACTATGAGATAGAGTTAAGGATCTTAAAAGATAACATTTGTAAGACAAGTTATTTGTGTCAGTTTAGCATGCCTTCCACTTCTTCCAATTATACCATTTTCCACTAGGGGAACTGCTTGCCACTACACAGATTATATCTGTGATGTAAGAGGCTGCCAATCAAGTTGTAACTGGACGCTTTACAGAAGCTCACCTTCATTCTCCCCAAAGCAAGGGATCGGCAGAAAAACTGAGCCTAAAAACAAGGTGTAGCTTGGATCTTTGAAACTGAGGCTATGGTGAGCCTTTCTGCTGGTGAAGGTGAGAAAATGCAGACTCTGAAGCTTCCAGCAGCTGAGATCCAGCTACTCAAAGAATCCTAATTTGCAGTAGAAGACATAGATAGTTGTTTAGGTAATGGTTAGAGAAGAAGCATCCTAGTACTTTGAAATCTTTGATTCTGGTCATTCCCAATTACTCTCTTGCTTTTCCTTGTTATATGAGTCAATACATTTTCTTTTTGCCCAAGGCAGCCCAAATTGCATGCCTTCAATTTACATATCAAAGAGTCAAGACTGATAGAGTTCCATGCTATAGATACCAAGGGGATGGTAGTTCTCTTCTTCACACACATATGATCTTATTTTGTTTAATTTCAGGATAGGTATAGGCATCATGGGTTGAAAAAAATCAAGAGCTTCTATATTCTAAATTTCACATTTTTAATAAATCAGTGACCTCTCCTTTTACATTGCCTCACAGCTTTAACTACTAATTCAAACAATATTTTTATACTTTGGGGCTTTAAAATCATAGCAGGTGTGGATACTTAAATATGCTAATATATACTATTGCCAGAGTGTAAAATTGCCACTGCATTTTTAGGTGGTGATTTTGTAATGAGTATCCAAGAGTTTTGTTTATACTCTTTTACTCATCAATTCCACTTCTGATACTCTATCCTGTGAAAACAAGCCTGTATGTGAACAATGGTATATGTGTGATGTTATTTATTATAGCTTAAATTTTTGGAATATTTGATGACAAGAGAAAATTCTGATGATATAATTTTCATTGAAAAATAAAAAAGCCATAAAAGAATATATACAATAAAATTCTTATATGCAATACATACACAAACAATTATACAAATAGTATATGTGTGTCTTTGGAACTATATAGCAAAATTCCAAAAATGTTTCTTTTCTAGGCAATTAGATTATTAGTATATGGAACAGATTATGATTGACTCCCCAGCATCCATTCCACTATATCACCTACCTCCACACCATGTGCAGGAGCCATCTGATTTGGTGAGACTGACCTTCACCTTGAGTTCCATGAGTGGTCCATCACTGAGTGAGGTCAATCAAAATGACTGATCTTTCCAGTTATGGTTATTAAGTTAAAGGTGGACACACAATTCAGGCTTGAGCCATTTAGTGCAAAGCATTGACTTGGCATTACTATCTGGTTCACAGGTAGGCATATAATGTTGTTTGCTCCAATTAGAGAGTTGAAAGACTTTTAGTGGGGTTAGAGATACCCATTCTCTCCCTGACCATTGATGAGGAAAAATGGAGTCAGAAGTGCTACTGGAAAAGATTTCGTGACCAAAAGGAAAATCTGTCCTGAAGGTAAACACAGAAGACAGAGCAGAGGTGACATAAGAACTATCTGGTGGCACTGTCACATGTCTCTGCCTTAATTTTAGAATGAGCTAACATATTCTTAATCATTTAGACCAATGACAATGAGGTTTTCATTACATGAAAATAAAATAGACCGAACTTAAATAAAGGGATTTTCATTTTATTCTCTATGTTTTCCAGTATTTGTAAAGATTTTCTACACTGAACACATATTGATTTTATAATTAGAAACTATTTTAAAAAAGCATTTGATTAGGTATAGCACCCATTTATGATAAAAACACTCAGCAAAGTAGAGGGCGCACACCTCACCATAACAAAGGCCATATATGAGAAACCTACAGCCAACGTCATACTCAAGGGGCAAAAACTAAAATCTATCCCACTAAGATAAGGAACAAGATGAATGTTCACTTTCACCACTTCTGTTTAACATAGTACTGGAAGTCCTAGCCACAGCAAAAAGATAAGAAAAAAGGAATCAAAGATATTCAAATTGTAA